AAAAAAAAATTACATGGATAATAATAATAATAATAATAATAATAATAATAATAATAATAATAATAATAATAATAATAATAATAAAACAGAAGGCTGGGGTCATTTCTCTCCACCGATAGACTTCATCAATGCATTATTCAATATTTTTTTTTTCTAAACTCATTTTCAACCAAATATTATCTTAGTAGAATAATTTTACTCATAAACCTAAAACTTTTTGTTTCTTTTCAACCATCAAAAAAATAATTATTTCAATAATTATTTTTCCCAAATAATGGGATTCAAACAAGGGCTAACTTTTATTATAGCATGGGTTTGCTTGGTAGAGTCAGGACCAACCCTCAAAATTTTGAGGTCATAGATGATAAATTGTCATGAGACTCCTACGCATAATTTTTTTACTAGCGCATTAGCGTTAAACATGGCCGAATCAAACAATTTCTTGAATATTATATTTATGGTTCTCTCATCCACTATTTGATTTGTCGGATAATCAATTTCCATGTTCAATAAATAGAATAGAAAGTTTTTTGGAAACCAATGAGGGATGGGGTGGTGACTAATATTTATCATCCAAAATATCCTATATTAAAAAATTCAAAAAAAAAAAAAGATAAAGAAAATTCAAAATCAGCAATAAGTTAAAGACTTTGTTGGTGGGGAGACCATTTGTACTACCAAAAAATTCCTTAAATAATAATTGTTTTTAGGCTTTGAGCCCCCCTCAGGCCTCATACCTTGAAGCCCGTCCTGTGTAGAGTTTCTGTTTTCTATGAAAAATAAAAAATAAAAATAATTTGTTGGTCTCAAAATTAACTTTCATCTTTTCAAAAATCCAGCCAAATGGGATCTAAAATTATACCATCCATAATCATATCTATTATTTTGGTTAATTTACTTAACAGTCCACTAGGGCTGAATCTTTAGTAGGGCGAGTGCACCATCCCACCAGAACTGAATCTTCAATAGGGGTGTATGTTGAGCCACTTGTTGAGGTGGCTCACCTTGATAGGGTGATCGCACTGCCACGTGGTGCGATCACCCTACCGAAGATTCTCTCGTCCACTAGACAGAAAATGGAGAATTAATTACCTGACTCCATGGCCAGGGCCACAATGTATACTGTCCATCCACAAATTTGTTGTCCCTGGTCCAATTGATATACAGTCATCTCCTGTTTGGATATTACTTTCAGTGATGGTAACCCTAGTAGAGGACTGGACATGAATCCCATCTGTGTTGGGGCTTAGAGCTGGTGCAATAATCTTCACATTTTGCACTTTTACATTGCTGCAACTATTGATTACCAGGTGCATAAGTTGGCTATTAATCGAGGTTAAACCGTCAATCACGATGTCGTTAGCCCAGTTGAATGTGATCGACTGCAACTCCCACAATAATAATTTAAGTTTAGTCGAACATTATGTATAAAACATGTTTTGTACGCTGTACTAGACTATAGGTTTAAGAGTAGTAAAAAACGATATGTTCAAAAGAGAAAATGTTCCTAGATGTCTATTTTCTTAGAGAATTTCCTTAGTTGTTTTAATAATTACATAAACATCCATGGAGATTCATTTTCGGTAACCGATACCCCTTTTACAGATATTTCCATTCTTCGAAGAAAACAAATTGTGAAATACCTAAAATACCTCATACTACATATTAGATTTTTAGGAAATTTTGATAAAATTTGATAAAATATGTATGAAAAGTTGGTAAAAATTGTGGGCCCTATGAAATATATGTTTAGAAGTAATTATTATCTTTAACTGTGAATTTTTATCATTTTTTTTTAATTTTGGCTAAATCATACACAAGCTTAGTTTCATTTAAAGATTATTCGGTTTTATCAATGAATAATGCTGGAAAGTTTTCATGATTGGAAATTTTGTATTAGACTGAACTATATATGAAAAACTTCTAAACTTGTTAAATAATTTAAACTAAATTTTGAAATTTTTTATTTAAAAACACAATTTTAGAGATTTGGCATAAAATATAAAAAATTTCCATCAGTTTAGTTTAGAAAAAGCATTTAAATTTGACATGTACCCTTGCTCTTGTTGGGCAGTTCTGTCCAGAGCTTTTGCATTCCCAAAAGTTAGTCCCCTTACCATCAAGAGTTCCACCAATGACCCGAAGCCGGTCCACATTAATGAATAATATCCAGTAGCCAGAATTTCCTGCATCGTCGGAATAATCCACGGGGGGCTCGGCTACAAGCGTACCATCAATCCGAACATCGATCTGGTCCTTGCATGGACCTCGAAACTTTGCTGCATTTATCATGTAAGTCCCCTTTGGTATGTAAATGGTCAAGCCTAAGTTTGAGTCTGAGCCTGAGCCCGACCCGGAACCCGAGTTGCATGCCGATGCCCAAGCCTTTAAGAACGCATAGGTTGCATCGGTTTCCCCATCTGGTTTTGCACCAAAGTCGATCACATTATATGTCACTGCTTCTGTAATGCACGAAAAGAATACAATGGAAAGGAAGAAAGTGCAAGAAAGTGTGATTTTGTCCATTTTGTGAGTACTTTGGAATGTGCCTAAGAGATGAGGCAGTTGGGGTACTTATATTTATATGATCGTGTTTGTACAAAAGTAAATGAAGTAAAATTTTTATTTTTGCTTTGGCTTTTAATTAATAAAGGAATTTATTTTGAGGTAAGAATTAATTGGGAAGTTATTTCAAATTGAGAGAGAGAGAGAGAGAGAGAGAGAGAATGAATCTTACTCTTGATTCATTTTGGAGTTCATTTTTATTTTTATGGAAAAAATCTTTCGTTTTTATGGAGCCTTCTTTTCTATATTTCTTTATATTATATAATTTAAAAACGGGAAAAGAATGAACAACAGGAATAAATATTTATTTCGTGTTTTCCAAATTTTTCATTTCGTAAATAACGTATGGTTCTAAAACAACAAATAATGATAAAGTATCTAACTCTAATCCTCACACGAAAATACTATAACTCTACTCTACAAAAAGTTTACTATAATAAATGAAGAAATAAATTGAATTTACAATCCCGCAAAAATAAATGTAAAACATGTTTTCAATGAAAAGATATGAGAACCGATTGTATTGAATTAAATGGGACAACACATCATTCTTCTTCAACTTTTACTCATTTTTCAGTTCAACTTATCAAACACGTGCAGCAATCATTGAACTATAATCGATTTTTTTTCTTTTTTTTTTTATTTTTTACTTTTCTTTTTCAATTATTTACTTAATTAATAAGCGCTTTACAAAAATAACCGTGGCATAAGTTGTAATGTGTATAAATAGATTTTTTGACGTTTTTCATCTAATTGAACTAACTTGCAAAAAATAAAAAAAATAATAATGTGGAGTTTGAAAGCCAAGAAACTTTTATTGGTGATTTAAGCGTTGCAAGTAGTATAGATTGAAGACCACAGATCCAATAAACTTTTATTGGTGATTTAAGCGTTGCAAGTAGTATAGATTGAAGACCACAGATCCACAGCTGAAAAATTGTACAAAATTTTCTATAAAATGAAGCAAATAAATATAAATAAATAAAAAATCAGTTCAATTTTTCATTATGATGTTGAGAATTACGTGCAAAATATATAGTAAATATTTTATGATAAAAACATATTCAGCTGGTAAATAGAGTTGCAGAGCAGAAGGGTTAATTTTTTTTACCATGGTTACTGTCCATAATAAAAAATCAATTCTAAAATCCAACAAGAATGAGTATCAATTCCTCGCTTCATTTTGGAAAAAAAAAATACAAAATTACAATGGTTTCAAGATACACTTTCAAATTTAAAACTTGGTAAATTCTTTTAAAAATAAATTTTGATATATTTATTTAATCAAACAGGTCATGATCACAATATACACGTAATTAATGATCACAATCACCTACTAGTCATAAATCATATAAGATCACAATAACAAAGACACATTTTGTAGGTCAGAATCCTGTATTTAATCATAAATCGCACATTTAATGTCACAAATTTTCCAATTATCTAGTTACAATACTTTCATCTCACCACATCCTTATCCACTACTGTCCGCACCATCCAAATTATCGTCGTCAACGCCTCTACAAATCCACAAATCATCACCACCACCTCCACTTGCAATGCACCACCACTACCACCACTTGTACCACGATCTCCAAAGTACAACCACTGTCATCTGCAACACTATTGGCTTTTGAATTTGAGAAATATTGAGTTGGGGATTGGGTATTTATAGACGGTGGTGGGAATTGTAGTTAATAATGTGGAGTTTGAAAGCCAAGAAACTTTTATTGGTGATTTAAGCGTTGCAAGTAGTATAGATTGAAGACCACAGATCCACAGCTGAAAAATTGTACAAAATTTTCTATAAAATGAAGCAAATAAATATAAATAAATAAAAAATCAGTTCAAATTTTCATTATGATGTTGAGAATTACGTGCAAAATATATAGTAAATATTTTATAATAAAAACATATTCAGCTGGTAAATAGAGTTGCAGAGCAGAAGGGTCAATTTTTTTGACCATGGTTACTGTCCATAATAAAAAATCAATTCTAAAATCCAACAAGAATGAGTATCAATTCCTCGTTTCATTTTGGAAAAAAAAAAAAAAATACAAAATTACTATGGTTTCAAGATACACTTTCAAATTTAATACTTGGTAAATTCTTTTAAAAATCAAGTGATATATTTATTTAATCAAACAGGTCATGATCACAATATACACGTAATTAATGATCACAATCACCTACTAGTCATAAATCATATAAGATCACAATAACAAAGACACATTTTGTAGGTCACAATCCTGTATTTAATCATAAATCACACATTTAATGTCACAAAATTTCCAATTATCTAGTTACAATACTTTCATCTCACCACATCCTAATCCACTACTGTCGGCACCATCCAAATCATCGTCGTCAACGCCTCTACAAATCCACAAATCATCACTACCACCTCCACCTGCAATGCACCACCACTACCGCTGCTTGTACCACCACCTCCAAAGTACAACCACTGCCATCTGCAACACTATTGGCTTTTGAATTTGAGAAATATTGAGTTGGGGATTGGGTATTTATAGATGGTGGTGGGAATTGTAGTGGCGGGCGACGCTGGCGGAATGGTGAAGATGGAATTTGATGAGAATATGTGAGTTGGAGAAATAAAGGAATTTGTTTAAAAAAAAAAAAAGGAAAGAAAGAAAGAAAAAATCTTGATATTTAATTTAAGGGCTTGAAATTCACTAAAGTCTATTAAAATTCTTCCGTTAATGAAATATCTATAAATCTAAATTTATTGAAAACACCTAGATTTTAATCTATTAAAATCTGAGTTAAAAAGCCACTTTATTTAATTGAATATATTAAAGCCTTATTCGAAGACATCTAGATTTGTACATGCTTTCAAAATCCATTAAAATTTGAGTTGAGGACATCCATTTTGTTGTTTTCTTTTTTGCTTGTTATTGTAGAATGATGAAATTATTTCTTTTAAGTGACAGTTATGAATTTTCCATAATAAACTATAAGGTTCTAATTTATTTTATAATTACAAAGTTAGATTTTTGTATTTTTTTTTTTTGGGTGATCAATTAAAAAGTTATATCATTTTATCGTAATAATAAGAAATTTATTAAAATTTAAATTTGAGTTGAGGACATCCATTTTGTTGTTTTCTTTTTTGCTTGTTATTGTAGAATGATGAAATTATTTCTTTTAAGTGACAGTTATGAATTTTCCATAATAAACTATAAGGTTCTAATTTATTTTATAATTACAAAGTTAGATTTTTGTATTTTTTTTTTTGGGTGATCAATTAAAAAGTTATATCATTTTATCGTAATAATAAGAAATTTATTAAAATTCTGTAAATAGGATTATGTTAAAATCTTATAAATTCGGTGGAACTCTATTCAAATTTACTAAAAATCATAAAAATCCATAAATCTTGAGAAACCCTTAAACTTTGGATAGATGACACCCTAAAAATCCCAATAAAAGATAAAATCAAATTAAACAGCTTATTTAAGCCAGTTAAAAATCGACAAATTGTGTAGCCAATAAGGCTAGATTGGATATAGTATTCTATTTAACAATACTGGTGCCAAACACCAATTTAGATAGCTTGCAAATGTTATTAATTAATATATCACCTTAAAAGAGAAAAAGAATCATATTTAATATTTTATATCACTTACATACCATAAAAGGTTAATGTTATAACATCAATGACGTTAAATAATATTATTTTCTATGGGATATGGTGAGGTAAACTTCCCAAGAGAACTTAAAAAAATGGTGCTACTCGAAGCTTAACTGCCACTGTGGACGGTCTATTCTATGAAGTGTATAATATTCTAGCTTTTTCGTATGTTTTATTTATTCTTCTATGATTAGCTCCATGTTTTTGTAATGGAAATAATACTTCCATGTTTATCATATTTTAGACATTTCTTTCTTTTTCACTTGAGATGTAACATCTGGAGATAAGGCTCCAACGTCATCTTTTCACTTGTACTTCCCTTTTTATTATGAGTAAAGACACTTGGTCATGATTGGTTTTTTCTTCAAACTATCCAATCAATGATTGACACGTGTCACCCTGTTACCCAACCCTGTTTGTGTAACATAACTCTTTTATTATATAAAACACAGTTAGGGAATTCAAACTTCCCTATTGGGCCTAGTAGAGGTTTCAAAACTCCGTCTAGAAGTTGATTGTGCTTTAACTAAAAAGAATTGAGGTAAATTTCTAAAGTAGAAGTCTCTTTTGGAAAAAAAATTCACAAATAGCTTAATTTATAAATAGATAGAAATGTATGGTAAATTAGTGAATATTACTTATGAGTCCATTGAAAAGAGTAATTAAAAATGAAATTTGACCATTTATAATCTTTTATAAATTTTGCCAAAAGGAGGCTAATTTTACTAAAGAGGTAAGAGTAAAGAAAAAATAACGACTTAGTAATACATGATTAAAATGAAAGGATTACTTGATGGCGACCATATAAAATTAAATTAGACAATATATCTCTCTTCTTGAATTTCTACTAATTTCTAGAGTCCAACTTACCAAACATATTCGTCTAAATTGTCCCATAGTTGCCATGGCTAAAAGTAGGAGATGGCTTTGGTCTAATTGTAAAGCAAGAATAGAAGTGTAAATGCATGATTTAGTTTAGGCATAGCCACTTTTGTAGCACAATAATAGAGTTTTGCCACACCCTCTTTATAGCTGCTAGGGAGGTAGACAAGAAAATGTGAATGCCAACAAAAATACTCATATAGTCAAGAGTAGGGAAAGAAACTTGAGAATACAAAAATCAAAACTCATTTGTTGGCTATTTAATTTCCCTCACGAGAAATGGAACAAAAAATTCCACAATCTACATCTTATTTCTGATAAGACTAGTGTATCCAGATCAGAGCGAAAATTCTAATTTAAGACTTGTACAACATGAAGGGAATCACAATTCACTATCTCAAAGCCATTCTCCTTCACAAAAAGAAGT